ACAGGTGAACCAGATAGACAAGTGGAAGAGTCTAACTTTGATTCTTCCATTTCATTCTCTTGCAAAACATTTCTAATATTTCTAGAATTATAAGACACTGAAAAATTAGTGTCACTTCCTTTTATTTTCACTGTGGTACCTACATTTAGATTTTTTGCCATGTCTGTAGACTTTATCACCTCCATTGTAAAATTAATTTCATTGGAAAATTGTATAATGTTTTCAGGTTTTTTTGTTTGATTGATTATGTCTGTCACATCCTTTGAGAAACTCAGTAAAGAGAAAAGTGAGTGCATGCTAGTGTGGATGTTGTCACAACTATCCATGATTCGATAGCCTAATTTAACACCTGGTAACAGATCAGATTTATTGTTAATTTCGTTTACTGCAAACACCATTGTCATCATCCATCGAAATGCTCTAAGGTCAAATCTGCAGAGAAGTAAAATTAAACACATCATTAGCATAGATGTGTCATGCATGTAAAAAAAATAACACTTTGTAAAAATCAATGTACTTTTAATATAGAATGCTCAGAAATAGTTTAAAGAGTAAAAATAGTAGATGTGAATATCCTTACACTCACCCACTGCATGATGTCATTTGGGGTTTGCTGTGGTAGATGTGTTGTGGCTCAGAGGCCACATAGTGTAGAGGGAAAAACCCTCCAATAACAACATCACCTTCCATCTGTAAGGTCAGAGGCTCATCATCTCCTAGTTTCAGACACTGAGGTATAACAGAATTAACACCACTTTCTTTTATCCCCAAGTCTTCCAGGCTCTGCTCTATTGCCTTTTCTTTTATCCCCACCTCTTCCACTATACCTACATTTTCTTTTTCTTCAACAAGATGCCCAAAACAAGCAAAGTCTTTATAGAGAAGACTAAATAAAACACAAAGATGAAGCAGTATATAACATCCAACCAATACTTTCTGTTTTGCACACCCTATCCCCATATTGACCTTGCATGTGCTGTAACAAACCCTTTTTAGCAAAGTATTTGATAAGCCTATCTGTTAACATTTTTTTAAAGCTATTATTGCAGGTTTTTTCATTGGTCACGAGTCATCACAAGAACAACGAATCACAGTCAAAAGCAAAACAACAATGGGGAAATGGTAATTATGACTTCGATGAAGTTTGTCTGCCTTCACAAATGATGTCCTAAAATGGCATATATTGGGGGGGGGGGGGTATTACAAAAAATGCACTGTATCTGTGAGTGCATGTCTATTTTTCCACCCACTCTTTTGTGTTGTCTCTTATTTTAAGCATCTTATTTCAACTATTACATCTTCAGGGATCACCACAGCAAGTGATCACCTCAATCTGTCCTCTGCATCTTCTGTCCTCACTCAAGCTACCTCCATGTCCTCTCTAACTGCATCCATATATCACTTATTTGGCATTTCTCTGTCTTTTTTCCTGATAGCTGCATTTCTAACATCCTTCTACCAGTATGCCCACTGTCCCTCCTCTGGCCATATCCAAAACATCTCAGTCTGGCCTCTCTAACTTTATCACCCAGTTATTCAACCTGTGCTGTACCTCTGATGATCTCATTCCTAATCTTATCCATTTTATAACCCCTCAACATCTTAATTTCTGCTACTTCCAGTTCTTTCTCCTGTCTTTTTTTCATTGCCACTGTTTCCAGAACATACAAAATAGCTGATTTCACAAATGTCTTGTAAACTTTTCCTTTGACTTTTGCTAACACCTTTTTGCCGCAAATCATTCCTGAAACGTTTCTCCATCTACTCCATCCAGCCTGGATTCTCTTTTTCACCTCTTTACCACATTCCCCATTTTCCTGGAACGTGGACCCCAAGTGCTTGAAGTCCTTCACCTTTGTGAGTCATTGCACATTTTTATTTTGATTATTTGTTAAAGATACAACGAGAGGAGACATCGCCCAGTCTGTGGAGTGGATGTCCTGGCCGCACCACCCTCCTGCCAGCAGAGGCGCGGACTGCATGTCCCGCGGGAAGCATCTTCATCCACCTTCAGCTGTGCTCGCCCTGCAGACAGTAGTTTATGCACACCGTCTCCAGACAGTTCTGCAAGATGCACGCATAACTGCTGTGTCAGAACTCCTGCATACATTACCATGGTGCATAACATTGCAGACTTAATAAATAAGTTTAGAGTAAAAAATATATATATGAGTGAAATGTTTGATGTGTATATTGCATCATGTATTAAAACAACAGCACTAACTTGTCAAGAAAACAGAGATCAAAATGTTGAAAAGACAGTCCACTTTATTATCTAAAATAAATGGAAGGATGGATTGTCCTTAGCTGGACAACTGAGGATTCAAGCACCTGGAAGTGAGTGGCAATTGAGATTGGAGCAGAACAACGCGCAGGACTGACTTCATCAGTTTGGGTTGGACAGTACATGTGTGTATGTTGGGGGGTTGTAAGGTTTAGGACGCTTGACAGAATAGGACCTGCATTCACACACATGCTTGTTAATTGTTGCTCTCTAAAATAGTAATTTAAATTCAAACTTTATTTATGCAGGTTGTTAGTCTCATTGAGCCTCGTCATTTACAAGAGTGACCTGTTTTTAATCAATTTAATCAAATGTTTACAGGTGTTTAACAACCTGTTAAAATACACCCAAATGGAGGAAATGGCATCTCTTTTATTCTAAATTTTCTGGTGGAGGATCCACGGAACCCCTCCCTCGTGCCCCCCCGAATAAAAGAAATCTTGTTAAATGTATCTTAGAATAGCATAACTACAGACTATGAATAGTGCAAGATACGAACCTTACGAACAACAGGAGCACTTACTTAAACAAAACAAAAAAAAAAAAAAAAAACTAATAATCAAACAAAGGAACAAATTCTAGATTTGTAGATTTCTACAAGAGATTGTAGATTTGTATTTTATTTGCATTGAAATATGAAGGTGATATTAAAATTCAGCTTCAAAAGTAAATCATCTTGGAGTTACACATAAAACACTTTTTTTAATCTTATACATAATTATTAAATTTATTTAATGACTCTTCCAGTCACACATTTTTTTATATTTCTTTCAGGATGCAATAAAATTATGTAACATTTTGGCACAAAAATACACAACAAGACACCAAAACTAGAAGCTAATATTGCAAATATTTCCACAGCTACTGAGAATTTGCCAGGAGAGCTCATATAAGCTGGAATGAAAGAGATCCACACAGCAATAAAGATCAACATACTGAAAGTGATAAACTTTGCCTCGTTGAAAGTATCTGGTAGCTTCCGTCCAAGGAATGCCAGAATAAGGCAGAAAAAGGCAAGCAGGCCAATGTAGCAGAGGACAAGGTAAAATCCAAGAGGCCATGGCTCCTTACACTCCACAACAATCTAAACAGGGCCAAACACATATGGTGATCATTTAGTATGTCTACTCAACCATATTAAAATGCTTTGTGTGTAAAAGTATATTATCTCTGACTGTGAGGAACTAAAATAAATAAATAAATAAAAATACGACAAAAGTAAAACTTGATTTTACTTTTCCATTTGAGCTTCGGTATGATGAATTCCTAAATGGGAAAGGAGGAGCCCCCAGCAGCCACCCTGTACAGAGACAAATCTGAGAGCAAAATACTAATAAATACAAATAGAAAATTTACAATATTCACAATTACATTTCCTGCTGGTGAAAAATATGTCATCCACAACAAGGTTAATCCAAAAAAAGTTTAAAAAACCAAAACGTCTGTGCTTCTATTCTGTATTTAAAGACATTCGTTTTCTCATCTGGGTGAGTTCCTCAGTTTAAAACTGGAGAGTTCAATTTTCAATTATATTCATACCTCTTTATTGGGATTCTAACCAGACATTGCACAGATGCATGGCCCAACATGAGAGAAACAACTTTTCAGGACAAGACTCATGTGTCCATCTACACTTCAAAGGTTAGGACCCTCTTCTGAGAACCAAATACTGATGTTTTAGACAGAGAAGACAGACGGTTTGAGAGTGGTTAAAGAAAGTAATTTATGTAACAAGAGAGAAAAAAAACTACTTTAAACATATGAGGAGGCCTTAGTTTTCAGGTTTCCAAAACCGTCAGCATCAAACCTAATACCCTGTCAGTTTTACTAGTTCACACCTTCATGCATGTGACCAAAACATTTCGTTTGTATACAAGTCTAACAAAGACCCTAACTATTCTACATTGTAAGAGGTGTGTTAATTAATCTGCAAGTGGTTAAATAACTGAGCATTGGTTTAAAAGTAAGGAAATTTACACTCTCCAGTTTTGATTTCAGGAAGTTACTCCAATGGGAAGCATAACTTCTTGAACCACACAATAAACACATAGTCTTTCTGTCTATTTTTCTGTTGTTGTTGTGGTTTTACTCCCTTGGATTCACAGTTCTTGTCAAGTTTAAAGTGACAACTACAGATTTTTTTTTTTTCACCTGAGGAGCTGTTATAAAGAAGATCATACTGCTTTGCTGCGATGGACCGAACAGCCTCAGAGCCTTGGGGCCAGGTACATTAGCCTT